TTGGCAGGTTTATTTTCAACAAGATTGTGCGCTACCTCATTCCGTATTACAGGTGAGAGAATGGCTGCTCCAACATTTCCCAAACAAATGGATAGGTCATAGAGGACCAATAAAATGGCCAGCACGTTCGTCGGACATGACACCCAATGTTTTTTTTTCTGTGGAGTCATTTGAAATCCGTTATTTAAAAAACGGGATCTACTGATCCGGACGATAAAAAAAGAAGAATAAGGGTTGAATGCCAGGCATAGACTAGAGAAACACTTCAAACGTGCAAAAGGAGTTTGCAAATAGATTCCACCACTGTCTGAGATCTGAGATTCAATAGTGGTAATTTTGAACATGTTTTGTGGATAACCATTCAATAACCCATTCCGTACCGTACAATTAAAAACATACCATTTGAACTCGAATATCTCGAGAAGGACTTGTTAGAATTCAAAAAACTTTGCACTGCTATTGTCAGAATTGAATTACCTTTGCAATGATGTATAACACGACCCTTATTCCCTATTCAAATTATTAAGGTGGTTGCTCTGGGAAGTAAGGATTATTTATTTTGCGTCAAACGATGTCCCTCTTCAAATAAAAATCAACGTGTTTCGTTTTTTTTTTTAAAATCATTTTTCTGACAGATATTATAGAGGGTCGGTACTATTTTTTCAAATTTGATACAAACAAAACATAAACCAAAACTCAGATTTTCCCACTTTTTTCCTCGCTTTTTTCAAATTCTTGGTGAAATTATTTAAGCTCTGAGTTTTTTAATTTCTCAGATAGGTATAGATCTATCAGTTGTATTGGTGTATATTGATTTCTTATACAATATATTGGTTTGTGAATATAGTGCATGGAACAAAGTTATAATGGAAGATGGTGCCTATTTATTAGTGTATTTTTCATTCAATCTATGTACCATATGTACACATCAAGTATTTTTGTTGATATGTCCTAGGTCTTTTTCAATTCAAAGGTTTCTAGATTTCGTGGATCCTTCATAGTCTAAATATAGATTCATTGATAAATACCTATGACACCAGACTCAAACAAAAGGAAATCATAACAGATGGAAATGAATGGAACACCCGGTAAGTAAGGTAAAGATAAACGTCTCAATTAAAGAACTCTTAAGAGCAGTGGCGTGGCATAAGACGAGTGAGCGCAATGCGTTGGGGCCCCCGCGGTTGGGGGGCCTACTTATTCCCTCTATTCCCAAGAAAAAACTTGAATAAGCGAATATTTGAAACAGTTTCAAATTTTGTTTTCAAATGAATCCAGGATCGACTCACGACATACGAATTCCTGGAGAAATATCGATGTCAAAGAAGTGGAACCAGTGCCGGACTGGCCCATCTCAGCTAAGTGAGATTTTGAAAAATTGGGACCCCCCAATGAGTCGTGCTCGTTTTCTTGGATATATTCCAAGAACCGAATGCAAATTTCGACCGTCATCTGATAACGAACTGATATATGTCCCATAAGCATGTGAAAACGTATGTTTTGCTCTGGTCCATCGGATATAGTCTTTCGTCAGGGGCGAAATATTCACGGAAATATTACTAACTTATATCATCTTTTGAATTGACTCGGCCGTTACTTGATGAAATCCATGGCAAATGTAAAAACTTCACAAACGATAGGATTTCCACAAAATTCTCAAACACACGACATGTTTCGCTAGCACAGTAGCTTCGTCAGGTGATATACTGGTACGATGTATACCAGTACAGTACACGATGTATACCAGTACAGTAGAGTACATGAAGTCTACCTATAACAATAAAGCGGAGAAGTGGGTGTCGATAACAGTAGGTACTGCTTCAGCTCATTATAGTTTCTTTTGAATTCTTCAAACACAGCAAGACTAATTTCTTTCTGTATTTGATAATTCATAGGGAAAGGGAGAGCTGTATTGTACCATTTTTATCGAGACCTATGTCGATATATAGGTAGTCGCCGTATAAAAAAGGCTTAACTCCATCTTTGTAAAATGTGCAGAAGAACTATAAAAGAGTTTGGCATCAAGCAGTGTGAATTACCCTATATCCACAAAAATAGTTCCAAAAAGAATTGAAACTTGCGTATGTCCACAGCTTGAATAATATATAGATTAAAAAATTAATATTGTACATTTTGACATTCATACAACTTGAAGAAACTATAAAGAATTAACTTATCTTATTAGTCACTTCCGTCGTGCACACATGCATATAATCAGTATAACGAAATGATGAGTGATGACTGATGAGGATGAGGATAAGGAATTGAGGATGAGTTATGTACGCGGTTTTCTTGACATAAGTCGCGTTTTCTTTGTTCCATTCTGGTAGCGGTGGTGCGAACAGAATGACGTTTACAAATAAAACGGAAAACCTCATGATCTTGCATCATTACGATGACAAATGACTATTTGTGTTCACATCTCGCATCCAACGACAGTGGCGACCATTTTTTAATATGTACTGTAAATAAGTAATGTTTTTTCGATTTAAATTAATATAATACAATTAATACATTGACACTTGACACTAATGACATTTGACAGAACGTCAATAAAAACCGCCATATTCAAAAACGCCAATCAGAATTTTGTGTCGGAACTATAGCCATGGTGGTGATTGGAGAAACTTCTCTAAGATCGAGAGAATTAATTTTTTTTGGGAATGAACATATGAAACCTGTCTTATTTGAAAGAATCATAAACTTGTGAACCTCACGATAAAAATGTCTTCTACCTTCAAAATGTTCCGTTTTTCCGCAATATAATTTGATTTTTTGACAACTGTCAACAATCATTCTACGTCATTCCTTGTAGTAGGAAGGAAGAAAAGTAGCAGCCGGAATCGGAAAAGTTGCAAATATTGAAGTGATTCTGGTGGCGGAATCGGTTAAATAAAAGGCAACTATTAATAATAAGCCTCTTGTCTTATAATAAATTGATAATGATCAGAAAATGCCTGTTATTAAAATAATTGACGCTGAGAATAATATTCAAATTTCACCAGCTGATCAACTGCTACTGATGAAAACCACGAAAACGTTTTCCGAATTACGGCAGTGTGTTTTTGATTTCGGAACACAGATTTTCAGCAGAGTAAAAAAGTAGATTTACTGACAGTACTGACCAGTTGAATTCGGAATATAGCCTCGTCAACGACCGACCGACCGTGGATTTCGTCTGCTAAGTTCGGTTAGTTTGACTTGACATTGTCGTGTTTTAGTTTTTGGTTTGATTCATTACAACAAAAAACAATATTCCCATTTTGATTATTGCGTTGAGTTCCGATGGATTCGTTTACTGAGATCAATAATTCTCGATGCATTTTTTGTTTGTGCTTACTGTGCAAAATAATCAGGGACTTTTGGGGGCCATAATTGAAAATCAAATACTGGCAGAGCATGAACGTTAAAAAAACGATCGAAACTATAATTTGAAAATGACTGGCATTCCGTAAATAAACCACAACCGCAGTCACCAGTAGATAACCACAGTGAAAATTGTTGGTACCGGCCTTGAGAGAATCGGTAACTCCGGTTGATAACCGGGACATGTAGTTATGGAATTTATATCCAATTCTTCTTTCTGAACGTGAAAAAATATGGATAGAACTTATTTCAACTAAATGGAGCGATATAATTACATTATCAATGCCGAAGAGTGACAGCGAACATACTTTCAAATCAACAAGTAGGCAGTATTTTGAAAGTGGTATTTATTCATCACTATTTGATGATAAGATTGCCACTGAAATTAGCCTTCCACTATTCATCTTCAAATGATTACGCCATTTTCAAAACTGCACTTACTTCTTACTTCGCACGATCAATTAGACGAGCGTGTCCCGATACAACCATATTGGCACATCCAAGGTCAAATATTGTACTAAATAAACCTACACTTAGGTCATACAGGATCCTGTATGATGTAAGAACCTCCATAACTACATGAAGCTAAACATTGGCGCCAATTTTTGAAATAACTTCGTTATACTTATCCCGCCAATATTTCGGTAAAAGACAAATAGGACTCTTTAATTTTGCTTCCAGGATATTCATTATATTTGAGACGTTCCAGAGGATCTAGAAATTCCTAAGATTAGTACTACACAAATCGCTGAGCTATTTGCTTCTTGTCTAGCCAGGCAGTCGGCCCTTTTATTTCCGGGTAATGCGGTATATATGTCCTGGGACCTAAAGCAGTTTAACCATGTTAACTAGATAACATTTGAAGCTCATCAATGCATTCCGATACCAACAGCGTTATAAGCATCTCAGAACTGACCCTGTCTGTATGATGCGAGTGAAATGCTTATAGGATAGGCATCTTAGATGAGATGACTGTCGGAACATATTGTGATTGGCTCATTCACAGGGCGTAACTGAATTCCGCTTTTGGAGATTGCCCATATTCCCCAGCTCCTGCCGAACCACCCATCCTGGAGCCATCTGTGTACCAGATGATTCCAGTGGTAGGGATCAGGCGGTGCCCAAACTGCTCTCAATCGTCCCTTTTTGAGATAACTAACTGAGAGATAAGTTTATTCTCCAAAAACAAACTGCCACCTTACTCTCAACCTAACAATAGAACTATTTGCACTACACTTCTCACACCTCCTCCAGATCAAGGTGAGTGTACACCGTATCACACCGAACGGTATCAGTGCTACACGATTGAAATCGTGTAGAGTTACTAGAATGGAGTGAACTCATGAACTGTGAAGGTGAAGTGGAGTGTAGAGTCAGTAGAGTGTAGACCTGTATGATCTAAGGTGTAGACTGATTGATGACTGAAAACCGTACATAACCTCAAATTTGCTTGCATTTCTTAAATCTACAAGAACAAAATCAAGTTTTCAACTTTTAAACAACAGTTTATAGATTTATTAGATTTCTCTATTTCCTGTATTGATCAAACATCAATTGATATTAATTGAGGAGCCGTACTATTATCAAATCAAAGAAATGTAGGTGCAAAAAATGAAATTTCAAATAAGAGATCAGTAGATATATGATGACTTCATCAAGTAAATTGATAATGACTAATAATTGAATCAGAAGCAAATACTGGCTAGGTAATTATAAGATGTTGCAGTTATACTATTTTATCTCTTGTGTAATATCTGCTACATGGTGTTTTGAAAGTAACCTACTTGGTTGTTACAAAGATTTACCTACCCATCAGAAAATATCCATTGAACAATATCGAACTGGACCAGAGTGTATCAGAGATTGTTTTTCAAGATACTATAGGTAAGATTGATTTTGTCATCCATACTGAATGTAACCAAGGGAGTGTTTGGTTTTAGGTACTCTTTTATACAAATTGAAGGGAGTTGTGTGTGTGGAAATTTTTTAGGTGAACAAGTTTTCAATGGAACATGCAGTAGTTGCCTGAATTGCCATTCAGCCCAAAATTTGACAGATACCTACTCTACAGGAAGTTTAGGTTCACAAATTTCATTAGCACCCTGAAGAAAAAGACTATTGATTTTTTTTCTCATTTTAGTGCCAGGACCTCCAAGAAACTTTCAAATTGTAAATATTACAGAGAGAACTGCAAAATTGACATGGAGAAGTCCAGAATCATTTGTGGAGATCTCCAAATATCAGATTAAAGCCATAGTTATCCACACTTACTCTAGCTATTCTCCAATCAGTCCAGAATGGATGTACTCAAACAATACCTTTCAAACTGAACTCATAACATTATTACCTGCTACCAAATATAACATAACATTATCAACAAAATCACCAAATGGTGATGGAGCATTAGTATTTAAAATCATTGAGACAAAAATTGATGGTAAGTAAGTACCTTGGGTCAATGGATCAAATGGCAGGGATGTGGCATGCATCTGGTGTGCATATTGATGTGTTGATACCTAGTATATAATATGGTTCATACTTTGAAAAAGCAAAGTAGTTCCCTGACTTGCAAACTGTAACATTTGAATCTGACTTTTTATATGAAATATAGTAAGATCAAGGATGGATAGAATGTTTGATCAGCACGAAATGTTATCAGACTTCTACTTTTTCAATATTATCTAGTAATACTAGAAATGTTAGGGATTTTTGAAGACTCATACTTTTTGACATTCTTTTGATGTTCCTATATGTTTGTCAGTAAAAAACTCATCAATAGCCTGCCCATGGTTTTTTTTTCAGAACCTGATAGTTTACCATCCAAACCAAAAATACTGGAAAACAGGGGTACTGAGATTAGCATTCAGTTGATACCAACTCCTAATAATAATGGTCCTGTCTCTGCATATAGAATAATTGTTGTGAATGATGATGCAAAACAATCATTTGAAGAGGATAACCTGGGATCATATCATGAAGCTAACAAAAATGACTGGGCTTACTATATAGCTGCAGAACTAGAACCAAAGGTACATGCCTCAAGCTAATAATAGTCAACCACTCTTATGAGCAAGGTTAAGAAGCTTAAGATCTCTAAACAAAATAAATAACTAAAATTATTACTTCATCAATTCATCATCATAAAAATTTGGCACTGCATCAATATTGCTACCACTACACTACTTCTATTGCATATTCTTGCTCAAGAATATAAGTGGTGTTATACATATTCATTGTTTTTTATCCTGACAATATCATCATTCTAGTCAATAATTTTGCATTATGACATTTTTCCAATACTGATGAACATTTATTCTTATAAATTGCTTTGTCAAATCAAGTAGTGACTATTTACCACAATTCAATTACCTACCTATTTATGTTAAGGATTTAGAAATACTTCTCTCATGAAAAGTATCCAGTTTCCAAAGTATTGAGATGATTAAGTATATTTTCTCAGCAAAATAAACCTGGATATTTTGATCATTTACAATGATGACAATTATAATATTACCATTACTAAAGTACAGTAACCCTTTATCTCAGAGATATGACTTCACAGAAAAGTCAAGGGACCATATAAGTGTTGTCCAGACAATTTTTTGTTGTGACTCAGGGTTTGATATACTTTTAGAAGACTATGTATTGATATCATTATCACCTTCACTTTTTTAAGTTCAATGATGGCTCAGAAACCATAAGTTGAGGTAGATTAATTTTCAGAATGAATAGGTACTTTATAGTATTTCAAAACATAATTATTGTATAGAAAAATTCACTAATTGTCATTTGTGTAGGCATATCAATTTTTGAAAAGCCCCCAAAAGTTTTTTCAAAGGAACAATAATTCTTGAGGTCTAAACAGCTATACATTGAACTATTCTGGAACTTTTTTTTAGGATATCCACAAGGTATTTGTAGTTGGTGATGGAAGATCATATGGAAAATACTATAATGCTCCTTTGGACCCTAATATAAACTATAATGTTATGCTTGCCCTAGTGAGTAAACTGAATGGTATAGAGAAAGTCACATACAGTGATGCAACTGTCACTAAAAATGGTGTTGCTATTCTCAATCTAGAAGAGGAAGACCACAGTGAACCACCAGCTGTTATAATAGGACTATCAGTAGCTATAGGTCTGTTAACTTTTCTGTTGATCATAGGGATAATTGGGTTCCTTATTCTGAAGAGCCGAGTGGTCAATAGAAGACAAAGATTGTCTGACAATCAAGAACTGACCTTGCAAGGACCTATGATTGAAGTTGTAAGTCAAAAAGTAGTATTTGGACAAAGGTGGATTTGGACTAATGTGCAATGAATAAAAACAAGTAAAACTCGTTTTTATGAAATAATTTCATAACTGGATTTTTCAAAGTCATTGAAATTATTAATCAGCTATTTTATTAGCAATTCTTTCTCTGGCAGCAGCAAATGTCTAAAGTTTTAATTATCCATCAAGCAATTGCTTTGCCATCATCAGGATCAACAGAATTTGCTCTGGAGCAATATTTTTCTGGAACAAACAAACTGATATCCCCAAATGATGAGAAATATATCAACCTACCTTTGCTCAAGTATAAATCCACATGTATTGCTATGATCCACCCTCAATGACTCCTAATGATCTAATGAAAAAATGGTGATATGCATAAATCATTTTAGGAGGCATTTTATTGAGATAGATTTATTACTTGTCATCACATCCCCCTTCCCAAGGGAACCGCCCTTTCAATTATATCAGGGGCCTTATTTTTGAATCCAGAGAACGATTCCCTCGAGGAAATGCTTGGTATAGAATAATTACAATTTCACATTCCACTGCTTTCTTCGGTTGATTATGAGAGGAGATGGACCAGAGTACCTGTTTCTCTTGCTATCTATCGAGAGAAACAGCAGGGAACGGAATAATTCGTTACTAAAGTGAGGGACACGCCCACTGTTCTCTCGGCAGACTAGTTCACTCGATTCAAAAATAAGGCCCCAGATGGGAAGCATGAGTCAAGTGAGAATGGGGAAGTTTCCTATATTGAGGTTTATATCTAACTGTGAAGTTTGTAAAAAATTAATATATACGTATTTTTTCTTTTTTTCGTAAGATGAAATTTCACTTCAGGAAAAAATTAATAAAAGAGGAACTTGGCTCCTCCACCATTCCTATGACGTATTTTCTGAAAATCCACATTCACACAGAGTTAAAATACGATCGCCTGTGTCAGTACGACGTTGCCGACATTATCATTATGTCTAGATTTTCGGAAATTGTCTTTGAATGCATAATAAGTATATCATAACAACAATGGGATGTAATAGGTTCTTCAATCCTGCTTTGTCAAGTATTATGAATAATTCCCATAAATCTCTCATTGGCTGAATGAAGTTGATTACTAATAAAGGTAAATTGAGATATTTTGCGATAGTATCTATAATTTTTCACTATCGTTATATTACAATATGTTATTCATAACTTGTCAGTCATTTTTTTGCTACTGAATTCGTTCCTCAATAAAACGGATCTATTTTCTAGGATTGTTGCAGATTATATCTTGCAACAGCGCATAATGGGTGCCGGCCTCATTCTGTTCTGACCGATGGCAGTAAATTAGGAAGGATAGTATCATCGAATGTAGCCGATAGTGATTCATTGATTCAATGACATTACCGTTTAGGATCGAGCTCTATTCGAGATATTTCAATGCATAAATAACAAAACCATATCTTGTCAGAATGAAGCCAAGTTATGTATGTTTTTGTTTAGCAATTTTACTTCTTCTTCTATTTTTTTCATTCGTTTTTCATTCGAAACCTATTCGCTAGCTATATTCTTTAGCATCAGCTATTTTCAGACTAGATTCAGAATGTACGTCACAGTTTGCCGCCCCGAAAATTAGAAATTGCTTTAATTTGAAAATGAAAACGACTTGGACTTCATCGTTCGCCATTTCGTACAGCGTGGACATAAAACTGGAGAGTTCCGAACTTATTTTATGAAAATTCATCCGAAGGAAACTTCCCCATTTACCCATATCAGGATCCCAGTGGAGGGACTCAGTGGGAAGGTGTGACTTCCTTTATAAAAGCTTCCTTTTTAGAATACTGCTCCATTCTATACAGAGTGGTTGACTTTCTTAGGATTAAATATAAATCTTCCTGTGGAATTCTTTCTCAAATGCTCCAAAATCAAGATATCCAGCAATGAAATTGAAATGGCTTCAGAGATTTCCTTGAATTTTCAATATTTTCGATAAATATCGCTCTGAAATTGAAAAAGTAAAAATACAAAATGAGTATTAGAAGAAAAAAACAAAACAAAATGAAAGTACATTTTTGTGTAAAAAAAAGGAAGCACCTGAATTAATAATAACTATCGCCATGTTGCCGTGCAGAATAGTTGAAAGATGTGATGAGGACAGAGAGTTCAGGTTTTGATTGGATTGAAAACAAATTCTCACTGTAATTTTTATTCTGTCATTAGGTCTCATGCAGCACTTTATTGATCTAATTTCAGAAACACCAGTATATTCTATCTAAAACAACTGATGAAGTTATTTATTCAGGTTAGGTTAATGAAAAAGACAACCATCAATGATTTTTCAATTGAAAATAAAAAACAAGAGGCATAGTATGTCAACAATTTATCTGTACATAATGACCTATACTTTGAGCTGATTCAAAAAAAGTACCTTATCCTATTTGTGAATGAATGAATGAATGAATGAATGAATGAATGGATGAATGAATTTATTACGTTCCAAAAAACATAAAAATGTCATCTAGGAACACCTCTGTTACTAGTTACAAGTCAGTTTCACATATTACATAATATTTGACACAATAATTAAATTATTGATTAAAACCTGTTATCAATTTAGTTTAGTGAATATACCGTAGTTGGTACAATAGTAATATATGGGTAACCTTTTCCACTGAACTATAATATATTATCGAAAAAATTCAAGAGAAAGAACATCATTTGCGAGAATTACTAAAAGAAATCCTGATTGGTGATGAATCAAAATGTTCATATGCTTCATAAAAAACTAGGTACCTAATGAAAGTGTTGTGTCTGTTTGCTATTTCATTGGTTGCTTGACAGCAATTCGATAGTTGACGTCACAGTGACGCTATATTGATTTGAAAAACAATGTCTCCTGCGCCGCCATTTTGAAAACACATGTCTAATTGGGATATGTCATGGAAAAGGAATTTTTTTGCTTGAAATGACAGTACTCATATCTACAGGGTTCCATTTAAAATTCTAGACCTAGGTCAATTTTTGGTAAAACCGGAAGTGATATCCAATTGATAATAGAAGATATTGGCTCTGAACTATATCTTCGATCCAAATGTCAAAAGTGTAACATGAAAAACAACTGAATGACTTCATTGTCACATGGTATATTTAGTTAATTCAACAAGAATGATGGATAGAACAATTTCAGAATACATTTCAGTTCATATTTCCTAATCGGTATCCAAAGCTCTCTCTCTTTTGGTCTAAAAGTATATTGCAATGTCAGAGCTATTATCACTATTATCAGGGTAAACAGATACCTCAATAGATGAGGGTTAAGTCGACCCATGGCCCTATTTAAAATCTTTCAGAAAATGCTCGTTCAGGGTAGGGGGAAGCAACGTATAGGTGGGGAATGTATGTCAAAATATGTCCTTGAAATAAACAATAACGTGTCTCCGATTTTTTTATAGGATAATTCGTTATACAGGGTGGGTCGTCTTGAATGTGTAAAGGTACTACCAATATTCACTTTGAAAATAATCTGCATTATTTCAAGGAAAATAATGGCTATATACACGAAGATGAGCATATAATTCCTGTCAACCATTATCGGGCGCTCAGACAAAAAGTTCGCTCAATTACTTCTAACCAACTGAAAGTCGAACCAACTAACTTACTGGGTGTGGGCAAATATGGTAGAGTCAACACTGCGACCCTTCACGAAGACGACACCATGATACCTGTTTCGGTTTACACGATACAAGACAAAAAAATGTCACAAGATACCAGGAAGGCCATGTTGCAAGATTTGGACGTACTTATAAAAATTGGCAAACACGATAATGTGATCGGGCTCATTGGGACTTGTGAGACGGCCCAAATTGTCTATGTTGTTATAGAGTATGTTTCCATGAACCTCAAAGATTTATTGCTGAGCAGTCGAGACTCGTTACCTGGGAGGTTTAGTAATATGTCCGAGAATCAAGCTCTTGATATTGCCATCCAGATTTCTAATGGAATGGCTCATTTGGAATCCTGTAAAGTAAGATTTTTCTCTTTGGGCTAAATTGGGAGGGTTTCTTCTTACTTGCATTTCTATTGGGTGATGTTTTAAGCAATTAGTTTCTTTTAGATAATTCATAAGCAGTTATGTGCACGAAGCATTTTGGTATCAAATGGATTCAATGTAAAGATAAGCGGATTTGGCATTGCCCAATACTTTAGTCATAACAAAATCCCGGATTATACACGGTGGACAGCTCTGGAAGTATTCAAGACCCATCCTCATAATCCCAAAAGTGACGTTTGGTCATTTGCTTGTGTGATATGGGAAATATCAACCCTAGGTTTGTATTAATTTAGTTAGTATTAATTTAGTCATTTTCATTCCATTTTCACTAGCAGTAGTAGAAATAGTCGCTGAAATGTATGAACATGGAATGAAAATATTCTGCAAATAAGGCTTAACCCAAATCAAATCAATATCAATCGATTTGAACTTGTCTCAAAAATCCCTATGTGAAGTTTAATTTTGAATAACTTACACGTGATACGGGAAGTTTGTTATACACGTTACAATTTTCAAAAAATATCTTGCATGAAGCTACATTTACTTCATTATTTGCATCACAATATGAGTAATATCAATCATGGTGGTCAGAATTGTGTTATTAGGCTTATTCATATCCAGAATAACTTACAGAACTACAAGGAACATTTCATTTTGAATCTAAATTTTTATTATTTACTTTTGAGTAATTTCGTCCAAATTTCTTGGTACTTCTTGGAAGTAAAAAATTGCGAATGGCCCAACAGATTTGGGCATTTCAACTAATGCCTACCTAGCTACCTAAAAGTTCGTGGTACTGAACAGTTGCATCGCATCATTAGTTAGATATGATTGATTTCTGTTTATGGATAATTTCAAATTATAAGTGAAATTTCATTTTATATTGAATTACAATGCACATATTCATGACATTCAGTTCTGAATCCCTTCCAGCAAAGTACTTTCAAGTTAAGGTACTCAACTAGGTACCTACTTATATCTATGTACCATAGGGAAAGGAACAAATTTTGAATCAATCAATACTGAATTGTTCAGTTGCTTCTATTTTCTATACAATTATACAAGCAGTTATATTAACTTGGCAACATTATGTTAGCGCCAATTGCTTCATCTCGTTTCCTTGTAGACATGGTTGCCACATTAGCATTTATATTTTTTGGGAATGAGTACTTGAGATTAAGTAATACTGATCAATTTGATGATTATAACAATTAGTCAACGAAATCATACTCATAATGCAAACAAACTGAGCAGAACGGGAAACCATGTGAAAAGCGTCTTATTGTTAGATGCCAGTATCAAATTTTATCCTAGCAAATCTTGAAACTTAAATTAAGCAGTTCAGAGTAAATCGAAAGTGACTAGAAGTCAATTACTAATTGACCACCTACCTAATACATAGTATTTTCGAATATTTTACTTAACGATCTACTAGACCTCAATTATGCACCACTGTTGATTTTGTTTTCTTAGTAGGTAATAATATATTTGCTATCAACCCTTCCAAGTCAATCTGGTACACCGAATTTTAATGTAGATATAGTGCCTTCTTTCCGAAATTGAAGGCTTAGCGAACCTTTCTATAGGTAATTTGAATCCTTTAGGTAGGGAAAGTAGGATATTAAAGTTAGGCAAGTCAATGTAAGTTCAGTTTATTGGACGAGTATTTCACCTGAAGAAGTTACAGTGTTAGCGAAACATGTAGTTGTGAAAATCTTATCGATTGTAAAGTTTTTTACATTTACAATGGATTTCCATCAAGTAACGCCCGAGTCAATTTAAATAAAATCAAGATGAATGATTGAAAGCTCAAACTGCCGCTACTGTCCCTTTTTGTTCTACCAGGGCTATTATCAATTGTTCCCAACTAAACTTATATTTCTGTAGGTGGTACCCCATATGGAAATGTATCAAATGACCACGAAATACCTGAGAAAATCCTGAAAGGCCTACGTCTTCCACAGTTACAATACATGAGTGATGAATTATATCAGGTAATGTTAGACTGCTGGCAACTGGATTGTGATGAAAGGCCGAAGTTCAAACATATCATCGAATCTCTCGAAAATCTGAAACAAAATACTCTCATTCCATTTCTGAATTTTAATACCTTCCCCAATTTCCAATATGAAGAGTTTTATCCTGACATGGAACTTTCTGTTAGACCAGTGTTTTAATCAATCCAGTCATGAGCCTAATTATAATATCAATACTGAATGTTCATAACCTTAGAATATGATCATACCAAATTATTAGTTTTAAGGTGTTTATTTGGGGTTCAACATCCCCATTGAAATTTGAGGTTGTTAAGTTGAATGAGTATCAATCTCAAGGCGTGAATCTCAATTTTTTTTCTTAGATTTTAAATAGATGGAATGAAAATTTGGAGACTGGTCAAATACTCAAATAAAGAATACAAAAATATATGGAAAAGTCTAAATATGTATCTCTGCAACCTAATTGTCATCTTTAGTGAACCTGGAAACATCTGTACAATTTTCCAGAATCATTTTGGTTATATAGCTATAGAATTTTTTTACCCCAAAAAGAAGTAGGCTAAATTTCACCAGCGTACATGCACTAGTGTATGTACGCTGATTTTACTGGGTACTTCACTCCCTATGTAGCATGTTTTAGTCAAATTTGGGCCACTATTCCATGACGACGTCTATTGCTGCAATGTGACCGACAAATGACGTCATAGTGATATGGAGGTCATAACGACGTCCTTAAATCAAGTATTAGTTGATCACATCGGACGAACGTTATAGACAGTTTGTCTGATCTATTTTACCAAATTTGGTTTTGAATATATATATCTCTTAGCTCCATTTATTCCTATCCAAGTATTTTCGGTCGGCTTACATCCCGCCGACACTCGCTAAATAATTTCGGATACAAATATGAGTACCTAGCTGATAATATTCAGGTGGAGATGCACCAGTAATTAATGGACAGGAGCACCAATTACCAATCAGGTTATTCCAGATTTTTTGACCCGTGATCTTTCTATTTGAATGATTATTATCATGGCTAACTAATCTTTTTCTACGTTTTTCATTGGTCAATAGTTAGTCTATCCTATAAACGACGTATTCTAGTTGTATGACAATTTTTGCCGTTATTTACTGTGCGACCTAGGTTTGTGAGGTCTTCTTAGTTGCAGATATACTTATATAGAGTTTTGAAAATATTTTCGTATTATTTTGATACATTTTCTATCGAAACGTGTGTGGTAAACATTTCGTGATGTATGTTAGATAATTGGAAGACATTTTGAACAAAAGTAGTAGGTGGTAACGTTTTTATTTACATAGCTAAAAATTATTTATGTAATTATATTGTTCGCTATTTTGGTGCCATATTCTAATGTGAATGGAATGATTTTATATCAAAAATTAATTGATATGGCCTCTTTTAATTTGAACTGTAGCTGAAAAGAAATTGCACGTATTTTTCCTATGGCAGTAAAAAAATCATATATTATGTAATTGATTAACGATAAAGTATTATTTTGCAGCTTAAGAAGCACTTATTATGATATATTTAGTGATATCAAATATTTTTGTATAAATTTACAGTAGAGTAGGTACCTCTATGAAAATTAGGAAAAGTACAGAACTGAGAAAAAACTGAAAAACAATGAACTTTCTACAGGTATTTTAATTTGAAATTCTATCTATATATTTTTTCTTTCAAACTTTCAAGTTTGCCTACGTCGTTAAACAAACATCTTAAGAATGAATCGGTTAACGAAATTTTGTACTATGCTGTATTTTAATTCATATCGGTAATAATTATTGATGAACATTATTCTTTCACCATCTGAAGTTTCTTGAAAAGGGATTATTTATTCGTTGGTTAGTGCGGATTTTGATATTGTTTGAAAATATAAATACTGATGAGATGAGGGTATTGATTGAACTTCGTTCAATGATGTAACTACCTATTGTTGAACTGAATAGAGAAATTGTGTAACTTGATAATGTTTTTAAAGCGACAATTCGTAACAACTGAACATTCCATGTAGCAGTGATTTTTTCATTATATTTTATTTCGATTTGTGTATAGTGTATCTATTTTTATACACCATATTAAATCTTTTTATTTTGCAAGAGTATTTCATTTATTTTTCTGGAATAAACTAAAAGGCTAAAATGAGTATAAACAAGATTGTTATTATATATATTCTATCATATTAAATAAATTTGTGTAGGTATATGTACAGGGTGAGTCAAAAATGTTTACCGAGTTTTCTGGAGATATGTATGGAAACTGACTAAATTTTAAAAACTTTTTCACTAGGTGAATTTTGTGGGACATAAAATGAAAAATGAGTTCAAAACAAAATTCTTCTTAACCATTTTCTTACCATATCATCAGGTAAATAATACATATGTCACCGTCAAACAGTGGAAATCAGTCATTTCCTGAAATGCCTAGTAATTTCACATATTGCTTGGCAAACAGCGTTACTAAATTTCGTACACCGTATGCCTAATAGTTTGAGGCATTCCCTATAATGACGGAAGGAAGATTCATTTAGGCCGATGATATAGTTTCCATTCAAAATAATTCCTTTTATTTTTCTAAGTATCTACTTTAGGGTTTCGGCGACAGAAGCCCAGCCACAGTTATCGTTCAAATCAAAAAAGTGAATTACAATATTTTTTTCAAAAAAAAACATGTCAATTGGTTCACTGTGTACCGTCTTATGGAAACAGTGAATCAGTTCATGAATTCACAGTGAACCAGTATAAAAACAAGGTGAATACATAAAAAACTATATTTTCGAAACAATACAAAAACTGAAAAATATATATTTGGGTTGAGTTTAAACAAAAAGTAATAAAATGAATGGAAGAATAATTCGCTATACTTTCATAGATATTTACTTGATGAGTATTATAGTACACAGTGAACCAGTCAATACGCATTAATAATCACTGTGTATTGCATGGACGTATAATCAAAGATTGGGTATCACTGTGTACTGGGTTCACTGTTAAATTTTAACAAACATGAAGAATACATTGAAAAAAAATTATTGTGGGACTAATTGAAACAGTTTTTACATTTCTCAATACTGAAATAGACATTTTTAATCCGACAAGCGACGATACCTAACATCGCCAAATAAATAAGCAAATAGTGAAAAATTATAACTTGAACGGAATAATACGTTTTTTTCACATTGAAAAGGAACATTCTCAGATATATTTATGAACACAAAAAAATGGATATATATATATAAAGAAATACATTCAGAATTCGCATTCTCCATGTGATATAAATATTAATTCTTTCTCGGTTTATTCAACAGAAAACAACTACTTTCCTGGCTATATGCCACGACGAATATTAAATTACATCTATTGAACACACAATGTGTGTTCTGGGATAAACTAAAAGACAATTGATGATGCAGATATAGTGACGTTATAGATCGTGCCACGTACATCGGCGCTTCTCTCTAAAAAGTGGTGGTTGTATGATTGAAAATGGTTCACTGTGGAACAGTTTACCCTATCCTGTAGAATAAATTTTGAAATGAAATATATCACTTTCTCACTTCCAGAAAGCGATTTATATGCTGGTGAATCACAAAATATTTCATATAGTCATGTTTAACAGTTGCACAAGTGTATTAAAAATGTCATTTAGGTTCAGACAATTTTGCTCAAAAACGTTCCTGAGACATGTCATCATCTCATATGCTCATATCTTAAAATTTTCGTGCAGTCCCAAATTGTGGAAAATATACAGTGTGGCCCACTTCTAATGGAAACACCCCTGTATCTTACGTAATTGTTGGGTAAGGATCTTGAAATTTGCTGGAGCAAGAGATATTCCAAAAAGCACTCTATAAGTGGGATCATCTTCAGTGATATACACTGCTGGCCAACAGCCATGTGGAACCACCCCAATTTCCGGATAATGATATCAGGAGTCAAATTGGGTTGAAAATCACTTCAGATTCGGAATCAGGGCTCCCAATTCACTTACTGTTCATAGTTTTACTAGAAAATTTTCAGTTCAGAAAAATCAAATTTTGTCTCACTTCTCATGGAATCACCCCCGTAATTATTGAGATAGGGTTCTGAAATTTGCAGGAGGAAGGGGAAGTCCAAAGATGAAGTCAATTACGTAAGATACGGGGGTCGTGCTTCCGTAAAAATGAGACAAAATTTCATTTTTTCAGAACTGAAAAGTTTTCCAGGAAAAATATGAATAGTTAGTGAATTGGGCGTCCTAATTCCGAATCTGAAGTGATTTTCGACCTATTTTGACTCCTAATATCATTTTCCGGAAATAGGGGTAGTTCCAAGGCTGTTGGCGAGCAGTGTATATCACTGAAGATGACCCCACTTGGTCATAGTGTATTTTTGGTATATCTCTCGCTCCAACAAATTTCAGGATACAACAATTACATAAGATACAGGGGTGTTTCCATTAGAAGTGGGTCACACAATAAATTTTGAATACCTTCTATTTATAAAAGGTAGGTATTCAAATATCAAAGTTGACACTGTTGACAGTGCATCCAGTCAACCCGGGGACTATTAGGTGTCCGAGTTGGTATACCTATTCAACCACTGCAACTGGCTGGGCAAAGGTAATTCAAAATATTTAACAGAAAAGAATATTTCGTTCTGGCTAATACCACAGAATAATATTAAATAGTATCTGTCAAATAATGCAAATACCAAAGAAATTACAAAATATTATTATTAATGTTATCATATTATTCCTATATTCAACAGAAAAAAACTATCTACTTTCCTGGTTAATACCATAGAATATTGAATATTATATCTGTCAATTATTGAAGAAAACTTGAGATGTGGAAATATATTTTCTATAACATTTATTGAAAATTCTTTTGAAGTTTTTACGGAAATCAATAACTACTCTCGTCAATTTCAAACTTTAAATTTTTTTCCTATTATATTTTCTGCTCAATAAATCAGTGACTAGAGCATATGCTCATGCCAATAAATATTTCAAGACATGATTTAAATTGAATGTACTTACTACAAGATCTTATATACACAAATATACACTCAAACAAATAGTTATTTAATATTTATCAATCATTACTGTAAATGCCATCTCAAGTTTCAATATTGTTTTTTCTCAAGAATAATCTATTATAAACATTTAATATTTCCCATTTGCTTGGTTAGTGACTAATTTTATTTACTTCCTCTCATCAAATTGCTGAATTTTCTTCCATGAAGATATTTTTTCTCAGTATATTTCTACATTTTTTAGTTAGTAGATATACCATGTACTTACCTGAACAGTTTTAAAATGTTTTCATTATGCATATTAAAAATTGAAATAGAAATATTTCAATATATTCATTAGAATCTAACAAGATATGGAAGGTAGGTAAAGAAAATCTGTATAAACTAAAGTAAAAAACATTTCAATTGATGATTTTATTAGAACTTTCAAATTTAATGATACAAAACCTGATCTTACTTAAGAACTGTGAATCAATTTATCCATTCCTATCAATATCAGCCAGTTTTTCAGTGTTGATGTTTGAGTTTGAAATGTAGAAGAAACACTACATGATAATGTTGACCTGCAACTGCATATTAGGTACATCTGTATCATTTCCAAAGTATCACAGACAAACAATTTTAAATAAACAGACAGAAACACAACTGATTGAAAATTATGAATTTTAAGAGATAATTTGAAAAATAAATCAAGAATAAAAAACATATAGAGAAACTCATTTGGTCAATATGTTGAATCAGAAGCATTATATGGACATGCTTCTCTCTCTTTTATCCCCACTCCCATGATCACCTAAACGCTGATTTTTCGAAATTTTATCAAAGAAAGAATGCCTTAAAGCCTCCTTCAAAGTTATCCTTGTCAATGGTTCATACTTCAACATCTTTAGTATCAAGTCAAATAATTGATTATGGTCCAATTCATCACATTGCTTGTACCTCATCAGTGGTTTACAGTTGTCCTTTACATATCTTCCAGCTGAACTCTTTTCATCCCACTTCAGTTTACCTTTGTGGAAATATCTGGTCTTAGATTTTTTTGCCATACGCTCTGGAATTTCACCAAGAATTCTCTGCATCATGGCCAAATGTTCTTTGTTGTCATGTGTTTGGAAAAGAGTTATTCCCAAGTACAACTCGAATAAAATACATCCTATAGACCACACATCACAAGGCTGAGACCAGCCTAATTCCAGTATAACTTCAGGTGCTCTATAATGCCTTGTAGAGACTATAGTGCTGTGATGTTCATGATCAAATGTTGCACTGCCAAAATCAATCAGTCTTACATTTGTTTTTTTAACTTTCTTTACATCTTTTTTCTTTTTGTTATTGTAAGATACATCATAGCTGGAATCAACAAATAGTATGTTCTCTGGTTTTAGATCAGTATGGGTTAGTTTATTATCATGTAGGAACTTGACTGAATAACAAAGTTGATAACCTATATGCCTAACCTGATTTAATGGATATGGTTGATAGCTGTTGTCTTTCAGAAAATCGAAAACACTCAAGCCCAACATTTCAAAGGCAATGCACATATGGCCATGGTAATCAAACCAGTCTAACATCTTCACACAAAGATGCACACACTCAGGGTCCTTATCAGCTAGTTTTTCTAGAACATTTATTTCAAGTTTGGCAGCTTCCCTGTATTTTTCAACATTTTTAATTATTTTAAGAGCCACATTCTGGTCCAATTGTGAATCTTTAACTTGAACCACTTTACCAAAAGTCCCTTCTCCAAGTGTACCAATTATTTTATATCTGTCATGCAAAATATTGCCTACTTTATATATAAGATGGCCTTCATCATCATCTTGGACAGATGGGGCTTTGGGGGTGTGTTTTTCCTGTGAAAGAGACCTTCTAGTATGTTTCTTTTTTGTAGTGTTTTTTTCTTGATTCCGATGTTTCTTAGATGTTGGAGATCTTCTATTACTTCTTTTATATCTACGTTCAGCACTTGATCCTCTCTCATACTGTCTAGATCTCTGAGCTCTCTGACTACTTACAGATCTTTTATGATTGGGGCTATCAACTACTTCAGCTTTTTTATTACCCTCATGATCTTTTTCATTATCATTGACTTTCTTACGTTTACTGTTACTGCGAGAATGTGATCTAGATTTACTTCTTGAATGAGAATAATGCCTTTTCCTAGTTTTTGGCATACTGGGAGTACTAATTTGGTGCAATTTGTTCCAAAATGAATTCAATATCTGTACCAAACAATGCAAACTTCTAGTAGATCCTTGCCCAAATTCTGGAGATATTGTGAAACCAAACATGGGTTAAACCAATACTATTGGCAAATCATAGAATTACTTTTCAAATAGAAGTCCAGAGCAAAATAGATGTGGTTTTGGATCAACTTGGAATTCATACAACTTATTCATAACTGTAAAGAATAAAGTGATTGAAAAGGAGACAGTGAATTTACCCATCAATTACCTACATTTTTATATCCAGGTTCTTTGAATAAATAAAGATATTGAAAGCCAAAGCACATATCTTCCTATTCTTTAACTGGCGGAAGAAGTATAATTTTCGCTAAACTTTTACTGGATCTAATCCACCTTCAATTTTGGTTATACTTCCAGGTTGGCTTTTTCTAATTCAATGAAAGAAAGACATCATGAGAGACCCACGAGAGACCTTAGTAAAAGACTTTTGGTGACATTTTGGAAATTTCCAAATACCCAGAAAGACAGCAGAGCAAATGACAATTGACAATTCACTGAATTCACTTGAATCACTTCACATGACACGAGACACGACTGACGAGTGACAAGCAGACAATTCGCAAGGCAAGGCTATTTAACTCGCAAGGATCTCATAATGATGGAATTGCCGCATATTTTTGTTCACACATTTGTAATTAGGCCCATATGTCATTATTGTTTTCGAAAACGAAACAAAAGAGGAAGGAAATTTATCAAATATATCTACTCAAAGCACCAAGATTGTTTAAGAAGTAAAATGATACATGGAAAACGATTGAAAACTAATTTTTGTTTTGCACTAGAATATTGTGAATTGTACTGACGCAAGGACTATACAAGCAGTACAAGTACATGGACTATCTGTACCTAATAGTAGATATATGATTATACCTAATCGAAATAATGAATCTATGTACGGTCGTTCTAAAAACAGGGAATCTGCCCAAGATAACAAGAACTATGATCGGAGTAGGAATGTGGAGGGTAGTTGGCTTCATTCCGAAATTGTTTGGAATCTTTTTCACGACATCGTTAGCGAATGATAATCGTTACGGAACGATATTAGAGAGTTGAAGTAATCACTGTACGTAGAGCTCCACGTAGACGTTAACGTACGAAAAATAACGTTTACGTATTGTCGTTAAATTGAGTTGAAGTCGCCACTTTGGTCGTCACTTTCATCATAACGTAATAATACATTTTGTTTTCTGTTTGTATTGGTCATTTTTGGTTGTGTGTTTAGATTCGAACATTTATTCCTGTCAAAATTAGAGGACTCCTTGATGCAGAACTCGTTGGTGATCTCGAATTTGATAATTTTGACTCATCGGCATATTTCGAGTATCGTTTGGTTAACGTACGTTGATATTTGAGGTATACGTGAAGGAACGTGAGATAACGTACACCCGTAAGCCCACTAACAACGCAAACGTGAAGAATTGGAAAATGCGCATGCGTAGCTGTCAATTTCTACGTTTACGTTAACGTTCATGACAACACTTCAACTCTCTATTATTTGTTATTCTGTAGCTAATCTGTAACTAACGATTGTCGTACCTGTACGATAACACTCGTGGTTTGTTGACGACGTCGGCTGAGCTGTCTTTATTTTATTTATTTATATTATATGAAAATGAATGAATAATATGGATGGAGTATAAGAGAAGATATTGTTCTGCTGATTATTAAAATAATAATATAGTCAGGGAGCCCTAATAAAAATTGTTCAAGAGAATATGTGATAGTTTGCCTTCAGCAATACTCTCATGGCAAAATCATGTCCGATCCACCACGAAAGCTGCTTCACAAAAAACTTAACACCTCACTCAAGATGTACAGAGCACAAATACGGCCAGTTTTAGAATACTGTTTTCACATATGGGTTTTGAGAATCCAAACATACGCTCATGCTCTTAGATTACATCCAGACCCATATTCGTCTGGTGGGTGATGCCACACTCACTAATACTTTGACCTCATTAGAACACCGTAGAAACATCGGCGAACTTCCACTTTTCTATAGATACTTCTACGGAAAATGTTCCTTAGGAATCTCTGCTATCATTCCATCACTAGCAATACCAGTGAGATGAACTCGACAGGCCCAGTCAGCACATCCTTTCTTTGTCATCCTCGAAATATGTCGAACAACACTACCAAAATTCGTTCGTCTATAAACCGGCGAAGCTTGGAATTTCCCATGAACTTATTATAACCTCCAAAAGTTAAAAAAACACCTATTTCCTCTCCCTATTCTCCCTAGGCGAGCACGATGTTCTCCGAACATCATAGAAATTTCCTTTCGTGCGCTCCAAGACGTTTAAACTTGTTTAAACAATATATGCTTGAATGTAAAAGCAGGGGATTTTTTTTAATTTTCTGACACGTTCAACGAAAAGAACCTCAAACTGTTAGGAACTGTCAAACGTTTCACACATTTTTATCATCAGAACATCAACATTCTGTTACAAAAATTCACCAATCCCATTTATTACTATGTCCCCAAATTTATCTCTAACTACATCGATACCGAATCAGCTTCTAGGATTTATCGTACATAATGTCGTTAGCCAATGTATCGTTAACGTAACGATATCGTATTCTAACGATAAGTTACTGAATAGACCCCTCACTGCCATCAGCAGGTAAAAAGTAGAAAGAAGCCGACACCCACGGCTCCTTCCTGGTCCGAGACGCTCATGGAAGGAAATGTCGATTGACATACTCCAGAAAACATTTCATAAGCCAATGTCGGCTAAATGAAAAAAGAATCTAGTCAGCTCTGGCCCTAAGCATTTCCTCGAGGGAATCGTTCTCTCGATTCAAAAAGGCTACTTTAATAAATTTCACACATGACATTGTTCCAAAACTTCTCGCCTACTGCTCGAAAGTTTTGATAAACAATATCATTCGCGAAATTATCATGCAACAAGCTGTCGTAACAATCGCGGAGTCCTGACTCCTCTTTGGCGGAATAATTTGTTTCAGGTTTTTTTAGAACTCTTTTAGAAGGAGTGGAAAGGTGCTGGAAAGAGTTATAAGAGTAGAGACACAAATCACAAATCTCAAAAAGAACTTTTATGTGAAATGTGGATGAAATACAAAATCGAAAGGATATTAAATGATGGTGTATAGATTCAAATGTCAAATACATCTGGCAGATTTTTTATGTCCCACTGTTTACACAAATGGTGCAGTGTTTCATGTTCATCATTCTCCAGCCCATGAGTATCATCAACTTATCACAGTTAGTATTATTTAGGTTTATAAATAAAAGTGTTCCTTTCTTGATCTCACGTGGTCAGCATACTGAAAGTAATGATAAATATGTATAATGATCTGAAACTTGTTTTTGTCTGCTGATAATTACTGACTATGACCCTTACTCGCGTTAAATGACCCCATGAAGAGGAAAGTCTATATAAATATAGTGAATTGAGTATCCTTTGCAGTAGCTTCTGTTCAGTTTATAATAGTGTTGTGTTTCTGTGGTTAACAAATTGATGTGCTGATATAATTGTACATAATTTGAAAAACATTAAGTACCCTTCAAAAATACTCATTGCTTTTTTTTAAATTTTTTGTTCATCCTGGCAGCAAAGAGAGGAATGCTAGGAACTACCAGGGATTGCCTGGGACTTAGAGTTCGTCTAAATTCTCTTCATCAAACCTGGAAGTGGTTGCATCAAACTATTGCCCTTCACGAATACCTTATTTCCCTAACATCAAGCTCTAAAAACGTTTGCAAAAAACACTTTTTGACATATTAGACTAGGAAACAAGAGGCACAACATCTGCAAGATTGATATTTCAGAAGAAGAATCAAAATGGCTTTAGCACAACGTGCCTACATGAGAGTGGTATCTGTTGTTAGTAACATGAATCTAAGGAACTATTCAGCAGCTAAATCAACAGTGAATGAAGGAAACATTAAAAAATCTGTGTTCATATCTCAGTCCAAAGACATTTTTACCAATTTGGCCCTAGAAGACTGGATATATCGCAATATGGACTTCAAAAACCATCATATTCTCATGTTGTGGCAGAGCAATCCTTGTGTAGTGATAGGTCGTCACCAAAATCCTTGGCTTGAAGCACATTTGGCAGAATTGTCTAGCATTACAGAACATGGGGTTCAATTGGCAAGACGTAACAGTGGTGGAGGTACTGTTTATCATGACTATGGAAATTTGAATCTTACTTTCTTCACTCCTAGAGAGCATTATGACAGAAAGTACAACTTGGAGCTAATCACCAGATCTTTGTTCAGAGAATATGGGATGAATGTGAATATTTCACCTAGAGAGGATCTTACAATACGTGATTACAAAGTATCCTTTTAATAGACTACAAATTTCTGAAATATTCAAATTGATTATTACTTATATTTGAAGAGTGACAGTGTTTTGTGGACACTTGCTGCACCTGAAATCAGTCTGTCATATTTATTTTAGTCAATTTTGATACAGCCAAATAATATTCAAATGATTGCATGGAATTAAAATGAAAGAGTACTGTTCAACAAACGATAATTTGAAATTTTGATTCCAAAAAGATGGTTATTTCTTAGTTCATCTGAATATATGAATTGTTTATATATAAACAGTATTTGGGGTCTACATTTTTCCACTCCACTAATTCAAATAGGTACTACATCTTTTTTCCTTAACAGTATTCAATAGGTTTCTGGAACTGCTTCAAAATTGGGAAGGTTGAGTGCTTACCATCACTGTACTCTTTTGGTGAATGCAAACAAAGTTGATTTGAGTTTGGCCCTTCAAAAACAAGAAGTGAGTTATTGCCATTATATCAATTTATTTAAAAAAATCCTGATTCATTTCAGTGAATTTAATAAAAAAGTTCAATCTTTCAATCCCTGCTGAAAAGCTGGTTGTTATTAAAAATGAGGTTCTTGACATAATTTTATTAACTGAATAGATAAATTTGATATTCATAAATAAAGAGAAAATAAAAAACAGTGCAATCAAGTTATGATATCTCAATCCAAATATATAACATTGTTATCAGTATTATTAGGACTTTATGACATTGCAAAAGTCAAATTCCATTTTTTATCAGAACTAGCATAGAAAAATCGGTACTGATGCGTGTTATTGTATGTTTCTTATCATTAGATGAAAATACAAGTAGTCTTGTGTTATGTATATTATGCATATAGTTATATATAACCTATAAATAATACTTGAAGATAACCTGTCCTGTGCGTGTCCAGCATAAAATATGATAAGGTCATTTTCATCATGGTAATCTGTAGGTTAGGTGATAACTTGGTTGTAACTTTGAAATGATTCGTATAAAATATTCCTAACTCATTACAAAAGTACCTATCATACTGTGTCCCCGCTAGAATTTGTCACCCCTATCATCATTGAAGTTGTATGTATACAGGGAGTTTCATAATATATGCGCAGGACTTCAGGATGTGCAGCTCGTCCGAAAATATACAAAAAAAGTTTATTCCAACTCTCTAAAATGCATCATTTTCGAGATACAGGGTGTTGAAATAAAAAAAATCGTTTTTTTGCGAATATCTGTGGAACCGTTTATTGCACGGAAAACAGCTTTTATAAGCAATTGGTGAAGAAATTGAGGGGCAGTGTGTGTTTTTCTCCAACTTCTACGCCATTGGAAAAAGCACAGTTTGGAGTCGCCCATTGGAACCGCCAATGTTTTCTACACAAAAATAGGTTCTTTTGGCCATAAGCTCTAAAGTTGATCGTTTTCGAGAAAAATTTACCATGTTTTTTAAACGGTCAACTTTAGAGGTTATGACCAAGAGTACCTTTTTTGAGTTTTTTGTGTAGAAAACGTTGGCGGTTCACATAGTAAGTACTGTACTTTTTCCAGTGGCGTAGAAGTTGAGGAGAAAAACACCCACTACCCCTTCAAATCTTGACTGATTATGACTTAAAAAAAGTAGAAAATGCCTACAGAAGCAGTTTTCTGTGCCATAAACGGTTCCGGAGATATTAGCGATAAACGATTTTTTTTTCAATTTCATTACCCTGTATCTCCAAAATTATAGGGTATGTTGAAATATACTTTGTCATATTTTTGGAGGAGCTATCACATCCTGAATTCCTGCGCCTATATTATAAAACACACTGTATTTACAGGATGACTCATTGAGAATTGGCAATCTCTACACTACAGATAGTGAACACAAACATATGAAGATTTAGCCCAACATGCCTTAAAAAAATGGTGCAGATACAGGAAAAATTGTATTTTAAGTTCCCCCATAATTTTGGTTGACCATTTACTTAGAAATTCCGTGTGTTGTTGGCGTTGTTAGTGATTGTCGTTATTGATAAGTGTCCTTTATTTTTTTCACTGTCACTTCCTTAACTTTATAATTTAAAATAATAAAAATGTTATAATAAAACGCGAATCGTTTCCGGAGCGAATATCGCAAAAACCATTAAATCTAGACAATTTTAAAGATAGTATATTTCTTATTTTAAATTGAACAGGCTTTCAATGACTTATTTCAACCATTATATAATGGAATTTAATGAACAAAGAAGATGAGATGTAATTTACAGACGTAAGACTAGCGCCCTCTATGAGCAATCACAAAGTGAGTTACAATTAAGTTCGTATTTCTCATGTCAGAAAACCTGAAACTACGAAATTTCATGTTCATGCTGTTAAAACTTACACATCTGTTATTGGAAAATTCTAGAACAAATCTTGGATTGAACACCCTGTATCTCCTAAACCAGCAACATTCTTATCTTCATATTTCAGTGTTTACTAACTGTAGTTCGGAGATTGCCCATTCTCAATGAATCACCTTGTGCACAGAAAAAAATGATGGCGTTTCTAAAAAAACTCTTTGTACGTTTCACTTTACCGCCCTGTGCATTCCAAAAATAGTTTCACGACCCTAGTGCATGAAACTTTTCTTCTAAAACACACACACAGAAGTGCACAAAAAACGGCCGGGATTGTAACTTTTGAATTATTCTAGGTAGGATTTTGAAAACTGGTCGGTAGCAAGTATACCAATTTGCTCATTAATTGATGAAACAATTTTACTTCTATCACTTTCAGCTTCACCGGAAACGACCCCAACTTTTGATTTGTAAATGGGACACCCTGAATTGTATTCCATAACCGATAAGGGATTATAATGACGAATTCAAGGATACCGGGTTTGATGGGGTTATTTCAACTAATTACAAAGATATTTGCTTTCGAAGTTTCCATATGCTCAATGGATGTGACTTCGCAATATCAAAACTGCTTTCTGCTTTCTCTGTCACACTCATTGAGCATATGGAAACTTAAAACGCGAATATCTGCGTAATCGTTTGAAATAACTATATCAAACCCGGTATCGATGAATTCGTTATGACAATCACTAACCGATTATGGAATAGGGTGTCTATTTAAAAATCAATAGTTTGGGTCGTTTCCAGTAAAACCGGAAGTGATTGAACAGAAATTGTCAATTATTGAGTAATTTGGTATACTAGCTGCCCACCAATTTTCAAAACCCTATCTCGAATAATTCAAAAGTTACAGCCCTGGCCGTTTTTGTGCACTTCTCTGTATACCTTCTTTTAAATGTGGAAGTTCTGCTATGGAAAACTATATAGAAGTTGCAGCGCAGATTGTATGCTCTCTATCATGCAACTATCCCGCTTACTTGTTAATCTATGCTTGTAGGTATACGCCAAAGATATCGTGAATCGCCGTGATTGATACGCAACAAATTACTTGAGACTCGGGAAGTATTATTGGTATTTGCTGGTATTTGTTATTCAAATAAAGATTAATGTAGTTATTACCGTTTCCGAAATGGAGTCATAACAAAAACAATGTTGAATTATCGACTTCTGAAGACCTTTCACATCATTAAATAAGCTATATACACATCGCAATGATAACTCCTCACATGCCTAGGTAGGACAATACATTTTTTCACCCCCCTTTCACATTTAATGAAACGCCTGAAATTTTAGATTTGATAAATACCTATTCATTTTAGGTTGAAATCATAACAAATGCCACAAAATCAATACGATCGAAAATCATGAATTTATGTGAAGAGAATCCAGATGTCACCGTTGACAATCTGATGACAGTAGTTGGATGGGAATATATGCGCACACCTGCACTCACTCTTACTGATGGGGGAATCGAATTGGCCAACCAACAGAATGGTTTCCAGTTGGTCAATCCTACCGAAGAATGGTTCAATGGTAAGTATTTAGTAGAACTTTTATGGTTTCAGCTGAGAGCTAATTAGTTGTTCATGAAAGAAAATGTATCTTGAAAATTTTTCTGTTAGTACTTCAACAGTGAATATGTTGATTCAAATGTATCAGCTCTTAGTTTTTATGTTTTTATTACTTAGATGAGTAAAATAATTTCTTGCTTTCCTAGGTTTGACGGAAATACGTGAAACGTTCGAAAGTTGGGATTGGTGTTTTGGTAAAACCCCAAAATTCAACATCTCCAAATCCTTTCAAGTACCAGCATCTCTTGCTAATTGCGAGGAAACCAGTGACAGTTTGAAAGTAACAATGGTCGTTGAAAATGGCAAAGTGAGTGATGTTAACCTCTACATCCCACCAAACCTTGCATTCGCTGGATTCTCGGGGAATGCCAATGTTATTACAAGTGTCATTGGTCAAAGATTCTCAGAAGATGCCCTGAATAGTATGGAAGCATTACTGGATGAGTTGATGAGTGATAAGGACAGATTTGTAACTGAGTGTTTGAAACAAGTTATGAGGTCTGTTTGATATAAAAAAGACAGAAAGGTTGAATGAATATATCTCTCTTTCTGTCTAGTCATCTGGTCATACTCATATGATTTTATTCACCTTAAGTTTGACAAAAATTATTTAATGTCTAAGTTAGCCCTTCTGTTGTTACACTGATGAAGATTCACATTTTATAATGGATCATGACTAGTGAATTTTTTAGGACATTTTGGTTCCTCTTATTTAAATTGCAATTCTATCATTTGGAATTTGTGAATTTGCTAACGTGATCTTGAATAATGTTTTGAGTCACTCATCAGCAGAATTTAATACTAAAAAGGAAAAGGAATGTTTTTGCTGATAGTATGAGCCAAGTAATAACTGCCAAGATATTGAATGCTCAATGTTTAAGCTACCTAAATATATATATATTCATTTAAATCATTGATGTACCATCCTATCATCTGAGGAAGTAGCTGTGTGGTTAATATATTGTTTGCTGCTGTTCATTATGTTTGTGGAATTGTGTATAGATGAATATACTGCAATGTTCTCTTTTTAGTTTGTTTATATTTTAAGTTTACCGCCATGTGAATGGTGAACAAGAATTAATCATATCATTTATGACACAAATTTTTAAGTATAGTTTATAGTAGAGCAGGAAATGTTTGTTTCTAATGTATATAGTACACACATTCAGGAATTCAGGTGACTATCTGGATCATGATAAGCCAGAAAATTGTTTGAATACCAACCTATCTTTTGAGATTTCAGCATCTGAATCTGAATATTCTAGCCATGTTTTTTGGAGTTGTTGTGCCTTATTTTATTGTAGTTTGTAGAGATACCTGTGTATAGTATTTTTATTCAATAAATAATTTATAAGAACTGTATCTGCATTTTAATTGGAGATACAGATACCTACACAATTAGGATTCATCATAATATCTGGTATCAGCTAGAGTGTCTAAATAATGTTCCCACAGTGATATAACCGGATGTAACAAACCTCTTGTGGGCACATTCTTCATTTTCTCATTATCAAATTTATCAGGAAACTAGCCTTGACTAGCCTCCTGATTGTTAGTGAGTACTCTAATTATTAAGTTCATTTGGATATTATCTACATCATTGTCTGGTAATGATCTACTCGAATTTTAAAATGATTAATTAGTAGGTATATATAAACTATCTACCTGATCATATGAGAACTTCATAGAGGCAGGTATACCTACATCTTGAGGTGCTACATGCACTCAGTGCCGTAAATAGCCTTTTCTGCGCCCTGTGCGAGCTTCTATAACTGCGCCCTTATATATTGATTAAATTTCAAGTACTTGGTATGTTAAAGTTTTGAATAGAGAAGGTAGCATAATATAAATTGCATCTAAGTATGAATTGGTGAAAAAACATTTATTCGAAAATATTTGCAAGATTATTTACAACTACATAATACATAGTACACAAATGATTGAGACCACAAATGAATGAGTTCAGATAGTGAAGATTCTTTCAAGCAAGCCATGAACATTTTCACAGATTTACTTTTCGCGCTTTCTTCATTGCGAAATCGTCGATAACTTTTTCATACGACAGGCAGCGCCCTATGCCGCGTTCAATCGACAAAATCGCTAGGCCGGTCAACCTTTCTTGGCCGATCGTAGAGCGCAAGTAAGTTTTTATTAGTTTGAGCTTACTGAATGATCTTTCGCAGGAAGCTACAGTCACTGGCATTGTTAAAAAAATCTTTATAGCGACTACTACATTGGGAAACATATCTTTCAAATCTAGTTCGACTATAGCTTTAAGAAGACCCAGACTTGTACTACGGTCACATTTATTAAATAATATAGTCGTTTCAGCTTGACTATTTAAAGTGTCTAATTCAGCCCAGAATTCAGTATTATTAATATCTGCTGAATATTTGATACTCAAATCAGCGGCATGGTTTTTTAGTTCTTCAGCTGGATATTTAGCAATATTTTCTATTGTCAAGAAATTAAAAAGGTGGTGAATATTGTGAAGTTTCTCGAATCTCCATGTGAATTCAGAAATCATTTTATCAATTGCTTCATACATATTAATTTTGAACCTTTGCTGTGGGGTAATATCGTAGCCGGCGTCTGAGATTTCTCCAAGGTCTTGTCTTTTCACTCGCTTTTTACGTTTTTCCGGAAAATAGTCCTCAATTTCAAATTCTACACAAACTTTTTCTGCCTTTTCAAAAACGTTATCTATATCTATATCTATATCTCGCGAATATTCTGAATCTGCCTTATTAATCCTTTGATTAATTCAGAGGCTTTGTCCATAGCAATAGTTTTCGACTGTAAAGCTACGTTCACCCTATCAACAGACTCTAAAACTTGATCCCAAATTTGCAGAGTATATATAAATTTATAGTTTATTAGACCCATAATGCTTTTAGCTGTAGCTACTGTTTCTGCATTGTAATCGTTGGTAGTTAAAATCTTCAGTGCACACCAGATTTGGGGCAGTTGCATATTTAAAGCTTTAACGGCTCTAGCTTTAGAAGCCCATCTAGTATCGGCATGTTTCTTTAAAGAAATTTTTAGATGTTTCATTAAGATTTCCCATCTGATGGTAGAACTCGAAAAAAACAGAAATATCTTCTGTATTGTTCCAAAAAATGTGATCATGTCGGGTGTTACACTAGCGGCATGTACGCCAGACAAATTCAAAGAATGTGCTGCACAAGGTAGGTTGATTCGGACATTACTGCGATAAACACTTTGAACATTGATACGCTCGTGCGCTGCCAAAAAAAATGAGCGCGGTGTTTTGTCTACTCTTGATGATACTGGCATGTAGGTAAGTATGTGTTGGAATCGAGCACTAGCGGCGCAGCAATAACGGGAACTCATCATGAGCAAACCGAAACAATGATAGTCCTGCCTGCTTTGGCCATTCTTTCTTGCGCCCCCCAGAGTCTACGCCCTGTGCCTGGGCACCGGTGGCACCGCCCTATTTACGGCACTGCATGCACTAAAATTATCAACGAACACTGTTTGATGATAGTTGATTCCAAATATAGTAGAAGTTGAACTGAGTTTTACATTTAGATATACAGGGCTCAAAATAAAGTTCAGAATGACTATTAACAGTATTTATTTCAACAAGTTTTTAACATCGGGAGTGACTAATGAAATGAAATCATTTGACAAACTTATCGGAATAGGGTTATTGTAAATATAAAAACGCTGTTCCAGTGAGTTCTACAGATATATTTTTCCTTGAGCCGCAAAAAATAATCACGGCTCGATCACGGACCTACACGCTTCTCCTAATTACTTATCTCTAAAACGAATCACTTCATCGGAATTATTCTGAATTATTTAGGAGGCCAAAATTAACGGAAAGCTCAAAATAATCTATAGTCGTACGTACGTACGTATCTATACTTATTTCAATACCAACGCTAGTGAATTCCACAGCCCCAGAAAGCACTGGATATTCATAGAATATTCTCTAAATATGCTGAAAAGGAGGAGTATATTCCGAATATTCATCGATTATTCCTAGAATATATACATGCCTCTGGAACATCTAAAAGGAATATTCCAAAGTGAACAGTCGGACATGTTCAGGGAATATTCAGGTATGAATCTTCCAGGAATATTCCCAACTGAATATTCTCTGTTGTATATTCATGAAATATACCCAACTGAATATTCTGTGCGGTATATTCATGAAATATACCCAACTAAATATTCTGTGCGGTATATTCATGAAATATTCTCAACTGATGAATATTCTGTGGTGTATATTCATGAAATATTCCATGAATATTCCTATGTTTCTCAACACATGAATAACATTTATTATTTCAGAGATGTGAGTATTGAACATCAATTAGATGTAAGGGGATTTTGAAACAAAAAGTGTTTATGATCCGATTTCGAACAATGCTCTCACAAGAACTTGATATGTATAACATTATTCAATTCGATTACTGGCCTAGTGGTCAAGGCGTTGATCTGATAGTCTTGAGGTCACGAGTTCGATCCCTACTTGGGTCACTTTTTTTAATTTTAGAATATGTTTATTGGAATATTCCAGGAATATTCAACATAGAATATTCTTTTGGGTATATTCTATGATTATCTGAGGAATTCCCATTCGCATATTTAGAGAATATTCCACAGATATTCCGGAATATTCCAGATTATTTCTAGAATATTCCAATATTCCAAAAGGAATATGATAGGGAGTTTCATGGAATATCTGGTGCTGTCTGGGGCTAACACATCTGATGTGTCATGCATGACATCTCTGAGATGTCGCGTTTTATAAACATCTCAGTCGCGTTCATAGGTCACAGTATATACGATATCACAAACGTTCCATCGCTGCGATGTTCATACGCGAATAACTCATCTGCGACATATATGACATCTCTGAAATGTCATATGATGATTTTATGATTCTACAAAATTTCCACTTGAGGGGGGTGAAATGAGGTTGGTAAGTAGTGTATTTAGATCTATGGTAAGTATTATATGGAGAGGGCACTTAACAATTACATTTTTCAAGTAAAACTGAAATATATTCATACTCTATTTGGCACGGTCGCGGCTATAGATTATAGTTGAACGATTTCAATGTGCCATTTATAATGGATAGACAACTGTAGGTAGGTAAAAACATAATACGAATTGAATTGGTCCAATGCCGGCTAAATTATAGGCAAACGATTACAATATGCCATACAATGGGCCTACGTTTGACCAGTGCAGCTCGGCCATGGCCAGCAATCTGCCGATATATCATGTACGGTGGCCAGAGATTTGATGTTTGCTGGGGTATTATATACATAGGGTTTAATCTAATCTCATCTCTTAATCTCATAGAAACCCGTTGTGTGATATTTGAATTCAGCTTCCTATGGAGATTCCGAAAATTGAATAATATATATAGGGTACCTATTCCATTTGAAAAAAATATCGCGGACGGCATAAGTCAGACGTAAATCATCCTGTGTATTTAATTTTTATTTAATACTCGGGACATTGAAATTAAAAATCGACCTGTATCAGGATGAGATTTCGCAGATATGGGTAGTTTGGCTAAGAATGAATTTATTCAGTACTTTACGAAAGCACTGTAGATTGTACATACATACATATATATAATCAATGAACAATAATTTGCCATCTTGAACAATATTGATATATTATGATTATATTATCATCACATTCTTGAAAAAACATTGTGGATATTTTATTATTGTATGGGTTCGAGGATTCTTTTTAGAAAATATTTACCCAACATATCACACAGTCTTTGGTCCAAAAAATCAAAACCTATATAACTATCTATTATATCTGTTAAATATATCGACAATGATTTTCTTATTTCTCAGAAATGAAAATAATTCTGATGTGAGCAAAGCGATGGGGAGTTTCTATTCGAAAAAGGTCGGAAAGAAAAGAAATTCTGTGGGATGGTAGAGATAGGGGGGGTTGCCGCTGGAGAGTGAGGGGATGAAAACTCTGACTCGCAGCGCTTGTTGAAAAATAGCATCGTTTGGGTAGGTACTATTGAAAAAAAGTTCAAATAGAATATGTTAAGAACAAAATTGTGCACACCTTTACCTATTATATCAACTCCTTAGATTATAGTACAGGATGAATCGAAGAAGCGAGAATTTTCAAATTGGAATATTGATTTCAAATTTCGTATGGGGGTATTTCAGCTATGCCTGAATCGAATAGGCTAGTCGATGGCTGAAAACAAAATTGCCTGATACTCGTTTCTGAAACTTTGACCCCTTCAACAAGCAAAGCAAAATAAGTTGGTCTTGGAAATCTGAGGTCAGTGAGGTAACAGTTCGTCTTCAGAGAACGAATCGTCGTCCATACCATATGC